TTTAAAAGGAACGTGACGAGTTAGCTCCTTGTAGTCGTAGTAATTGCTGTAACCAGTCAAGAGTAGCAGTAAGAGAACTTTGTGAGTATTGTACCGAAGTCATCAATAGTGGAAATAAAAAGAGAAGCAACCAAACAAAGAGTGTTGAAGTGATCGGCTAATTTCCCCAAAGTTCGTTTCAACATAGAATATTAGGGAGTTTAACTAACCACGACGGCAACGCCGAGGACAAGGTCGATTAAAAAATGAATTTATATTTTACCTACGAATCTCGCGATACTCTAAAGTCATTTACTTTATTTATCACTGCCAAAACTATCGCAAAACTAAATCCGGAACACAGCGATAAATTTGAAATAAGAATTTTAAAAAATTAGCCGTCGTGCCGGGTTCAAGTTCTCCAGACAACGCAGAATTTGGTCAGTTCACGTCGTTATTTTGAAGAGGAAGGCAAAGAAATGTACCAAGAATTATAACGCACGTGCACAACCATTGGTCTGCTCATTAAATCTTTTGTTCAGTGACGTTCCCGTTGCCGTTGCCGTCATGGCTTTTTAAGCTCGCGAATGATATGTTGAATGTGGCTTTTGGGCGTATGCATTCACGTTGTTTCAGCAGCCATGCAAATTTATTGGAAAAAAGAAAGTGTTTACATAAGGAAAGAGTTGAACTCCCACAGGATTGGTTTGGTACACCAACATGGCCGCCGTTTTTCATTGTTTTGGAACACAAATATCATGGGCTGCCATGACGTCAAGCGCATGCGCTCCGCTCCATTGCTTCGGGACAAAACTATCTTGCCGACACGTCACGTGAAAACACTCCGCGACGAGAGTTTGGCAGCTTTCGTGCAAATGTAAATTTGCTCACAGTTAACAAAAGATACAGTTGACTACATGTTTGTCATTCGTTAATTATCGTCCCGGGATTATCGTCAACCCAAACAGAATAGGTTTGACACTAAATCAATAGTAAGTTGTACAACCCAAACAGCTGATGAAACTCAAGAAAGCATAGCTGGCCATTTCTCGGCAGTATTCCATTCGCTGGGTAGGTGTTTTGCTAATACAAGAGCCTTAACATGATCTTGAAAAGAACATTGCTAACAATTCACAGAAACAAAGTTATTTTGTGAATTGAAGGTACGATTAAATTGTTACAAATAACTCAGTGGCGGATCCAGACCTTAAGCTAGGGGGGCGGGGGTGCTTGCTTGCCCTGCCGGCTTTTCTTCCTTCTGCGAATTTTTTTACCCACAATAAAGGGGGGGGGGGGCTCCCCTAGATGCGCCACTGTAACTAGCTGAACGTGCGACTTTAAGCTTCTTTTAGGGCTGCTGTATGTTCAATGATGTGGTTCGCCCGTTAGCCTGAAATGTGAGTCATCTCCCGACTGTAGTGAGGGTAGGAGATGACTGAAATTTCAGGCTAATTACTCTCGCTCTACAGCGGATTTCAGTTGCGTGTCGTAAAGCCAAAACCAAACCTATTGCTTACCAATTAGACTACTCAGCCAATTTGTTTTTGATCAGGACTGGAATATCGAGGTTGACGTTTTCGGAATTTTAAGAATATTTAATTTTAAGAATAAACTCGAGGCTAAGATTTTGAAAAGAATATATATTAATTTCGGTGTGTTGAAAATATGTGAATACAATTCAATTCTATAACTTCTATGTTATGTGACACCTAGCTGTCACGAAAGAGATAGGTGGAGGCCGTGAACAAAAGCGTATAAACTTCTTCCTTTCTCTAAACTGCAAAACTAGCCAAAAAGCCAAAAAGCCCCNCCCCCAAAAAAAGAACCGTACGTTCGATGCTAATAACATTCTTCAAGAAGTTATGTGCGTGATATTAGGTTTTAACGCCGGCAGGCTGGCTTCAAAATTACATTCGAAAACAGAAATGCTATGTGCTATAATCTAAGAATATTCTCAATAATATTTTCAGCGTAAATTCAGCAGAAAAATAAGTTCATGACAGGTTACGCAACAGTCGAAATACAAGGATTTGTATGAGAAAAACGGTTATATTCTTAAGCTAATATTCTCATGCGAAGGGGTATGAATAAAGATAAACCTACCTTGTCGCGGGTGTGTTTTTCCTTGGTTTTCTGTGAGGTTTCTAGGCCGATTTATAGCAATTTAGGTGGTGTTAAGCTTCAATTCTTAGTCCTCTATAAGCTTCTATACCCCTTCCTCTATATATTCTATCCTCTTTAATACATCGTTTCCTTTTATAGAAGCAAGATAGGTTTATCTTTATTCATACTTTCAACTAAATGCGATTTTGAGACGGCATTACCGCATTATTTTTAGAGTATATTTTCTCTTATTCGAAATCGCGGAAGCCTTTGATCGACTTTTCGACTTGCGATCCAATTTGTAACGAAAGGAAAGCCTCTCTTTTCTTTGAACAACACAACCAAAGATGATGATAAATACTGTGGTATGGGAGCCAAATTTATGCACACCATAACTGCTGGGAACCGAAATGCTTCATGCAAATAGCGTGCTTATGTGTAAAGCATTTTATATTAAGCTTTGGGAATATCATGTTTTAAGGGTTTATGAAAACGGAATCTCTTTGGTACAAAGAGCAGTATAACTTATTTTCGTTGCAAAAAAGGAGTTCATAAGTAACTTGCACGTCCGGCTTTTGAGTTTCTTGTTTAAGAAAAACCGCGTTGCGCCATTCCAAGTTTTCCATGACCATTCCAAGTTTTTCATGACCATTCCGAGTTTTTCATGACCGTTTTTTTATCCTATGGCCATTTTATTCCCAGAGAGCATATTGCTTTTCCATGACTTTCCATGACCCTCACTTAAATTTCAGGATTTTCCAGGCCTGCAAATTGAAATAATAAATTCCATGATCTTCCAGGTTTTACATGATCCGTACAAACCCTGAAAAAATATGAACCGTACGATTTGACCTGTTAACGCGCGTGTCCGCGCCATATCGAATTTTCTTGTCTTAATATAATGGTGATCGTGTTACTACGATTATCAGTTGAGTAAGGCGAGACGAAAGTTTGGTCACCAAGTTTTAACGTAAAAATCGTGTTGTTGTCACGAGCAACTGGCTCCGTATCCGTTGGCAACTTGTCCGCCTT